GGTGGGAGCGGGCGGGCTCTCCAGCCCCGGCGGTGCGGGGCGAAGGCAGGACCGGAGGTAGGCCGCTGCGGGTGCCCGGGTGACGGGGGTGTTGTGCCGCCCGCTGCACGGCTCCCGAAAACCGAGGTGGCTCTGGCAGACGGGTGACAAACGCCCTACACCGCACAAGCGGCTCCCTAACGCCGAGCCACGTCGTTAGTACTTTTGATACTCGGGGAGTGGCACACGTCCACGTTTTCTCCTTTGTGGAAGACTTCCTGGCTCACAAACTTTATAATACAGCCTTAAAAACGCTTATTGTGTTTCAACATATAGGAAATTATTTTTTAAAAATCCTTGTCCTTTCAGTGTATATTTTGCATGGCAAGAAATGCAAATCTCCAAAACTTTAGAAATAGTTTTTTAAGCAGATACTCGTTTCCTGGTTTTAATCTATGTGTTTGTAAGTTTCAAAACATCCAACATTTCAAATTTATTTTATTTTTATGAGATACTAGAATTAATTACAATTTGAAATTGCATACGAGTTTGTGGTGAATCACTTGCATCTGCTAAATACCTTCCAGAAAGATAAATATTTGGAAACTTCCTGCAGACTGTTTTAGATAGAGATCCTTGTTCCTAGTCACTAGGATAGGGGATGCCAGGCCCACTGCAGTACTAGAAGGGGAAATGATGTATTACCTGGGTTTACAACGAAGTTGTTTGAGCCTGAAGTTTTTAGATTGACTTCAGCTATCTACTTCATCCTGTCTTTTGGCAGCTTCGCTTGCCAGTACTGTGGCTAAACAGCAACTATTTTAACTATGTAACTATTTTTTTCCATCAGATGGATGTGGGAAAATAGAGGAACAGTAAGCAAGGGAAAAATACACTAATAAAAAGTCTTTGCTTAATGTTCTATAATACAGTACATGAAATCTTACAATCACATTTAAATATATCGATATTCTCTTAAAGGTATTTGTGTAATGCTGTCTTAGTTCTCTGAAACAGGATTAAGAAAAAAAGCCTGTTTGCAGCTAGGACTTGGTGTAGCACAACATTTACTACCAGTGGTTTGTGTTCTGCAGTTTGGCACCAGTTTCGTAGGTTGTAGAATACATAGTTGTTATCCCTGTGTACAAACTGGAGAAAGAAAACAAATTAATAAGTATCAAATTTAAATAGATAAGTCTGTAACTTCCACTGTAATTTAGTGAATTAAGTTGCTTTTCTTTTATGCAGTGGGTGATTTCAGCTGATGCATTGTGGCTGATCAATATCCTGTAGTACAAAAGTGGTCAACCTTCCTGACTAGAAGCCATATACCAAAATCTTTGTGTGTTTGCAAGACATAGACCACATACTAAAGAGAGCAGAGTGGAAAGGAAACTCTGGGAGAGGCTCATAGACAGTGTACAGTAGATATCACTGTTGGGTGGATGCACATATAGAGCCAGAGGAATCCGGTGATGCCAGGACCTCTTGCCATCTCACTTCTTTTTGCCACCAATAGTTGTATTTTCTGGCAGTTCCTGGACCCCAGTTTGGGATTATGGAGTGGCCTAATAAGAACAAGCCTCACTTGACTTAGTCATGCAGCACCTGCACATTAAAAAGCTCAGCTTTGCCTTCTCAGTACTAGCGTGATAGCACATGTGCCTTTTAAAAGCAAGTTGCTCAATCTGAAAACTTACCAACTGGACTAACTTTTCTTAATGCTTGTGAGCATGTCAGTGTTCATTCTTGGGAGCGTCTCTGAGTAGAATCCAGGCTGTAGGTTCTTTCAATCTTACCTTACTCAGAACATTAAAAGGTAGAGACATTGATTTATTTTTTTTTTAAACTAGTATTTATGACTGTACTTAACTACTTTAATTCTGTCTCATTACAGGTACTTCAGAATTGAATTCTTCTTAATACAGTGACTTATATAGGGTGAAAGAAAAATGGTTTGTTTTTCAAATACTTGAGTTTGTTCTTTGTAACAACGTGGTTTACTGTGAAAAGCAAATGAAGAATCTTTCTGGACACTTTGAGGATAGCTGGTAGGCCCAGCAAAATGCTTTGTTTGAGGCAGGTTTGCTTGTTTACACTGAGACATTACCAAGCTCGGACTCTGAGTAGTGATCTGCTTTTGAGCCAGCTAATTAGCTGCACCCATGAAGATGAAGTGTTCAGCCTTGTTGGGAGGAACAAGGCCAGGCTTTCTGAAAAACATGTGGGAATTGCATTGAATGTGCTGTGGCAATTGCAAAAGAAGAGGTCGTTTCTCTTAAGGACTAGTGACTACGTAAGAAATCACTCCCAATTTCTTACTCTTTGCATTTTAGCAGAAAACAAGGTGGAACACATGGCAGATGAGGCCATAGTGGACACCTTATATAGTATTCTGAGGTAAGCAGCATTATATTGAATTCCACATCTATACATTTTGTATTTGGTAATAAAAAGAGATGGAATTTTGACTACAAAGCCATAAGGAGATTGGGAGATTGCCCTGTCCCAGCTTCCATACTCTGTGTGATACAGGCAACATCCTCTGCCTCAGTTTTTGAGATGCAGGCAGAACTGGTCTGTTTTGTGCTCCCAGTAAATGGAGTTATGATTATTAATGCACAACTGTTTATAATCTGTTTGAATGGAGGGAGTGATAGAAAAGTAAAATATGATACATAATGAAAGGACATATGTCTTATTTCTTTATGAACTTTTGAAGCAAACTTCAAACTATTATGTCTCTTCTAAAGGCTCAGTGTTGAAGACCGTGATTCTCTAGCAGAAGTGCTTGTTACAGAAGCATGGAAAAGATTAGAAAGGCAAGTATTGTACTACTGTGCTTTGTGAAAGGTATAAGTTGCAAGCATGGTTTGCTTCCTGTGAGACTACACAGAGTTCTGAAAGAGTATTTATGAGATATTTTAAACATTAGATGATTGTTTTAAATGACAGTTGTATTTTTGAAGGTTTTGGAAATTATTTTTATACATATGGAGGCTTTGAGTATTGATGGACTTTGGTATACAAGTGCTTAAGAGATTCAGATACTGCAACAACAGGGACCAACACTTAAGATTTTGAAATACATTGTCTGTGTAGGTTTATGTGTTTGAATTAAATTGCAGGTTTTAATATTTGCAGTTTTATCTAAGAGCTTGCTGTCTAACTCTTAAATGGTTGTTAGAACTGTGCTCATCTCAATTTTAGTAAAAACCATTTATATTAAAACATCAGTGTTTTCCCTTTGTGTGTTTTTTTGTTAGTGTTTTTTCTTGAGTTCTTTTGGGTTTTGGTTTGTTTTTTGTTTTGGGTTTTTTTTGTGTTGTAATTTTCATTCTTTAATCTCAAGTTAATGGCATGAGCTAGTGTCAGACTTGGCACCAGCATCATAGAATTGCCTCTCACAGCTTAACACCTGGGGCATCTTGACAGTGAAATCAACTCAGTGTAGCTTGAACACACAGTGACATTCAGGTAATAAATTGCCCACATTCATTTTAGCTATTTCAGATCATTGCTCAAGAATGTAATCTTTATAGATTTCTTATGCTGGTTGAATGAAGAACAACTGATTTTTGTAGAGCTGCATATCCTTAATATAAAATACCCTGATGTTTTGGCTAAGTCCGAGGTATTGCTATAGGTGACCAAATAGGAAATGGTTAGATATTTTGTTTCCCTGTTTTGTATTTTGAATATAACCTTGTCTTTTATATAATTATTGAATTAGATTTTTGTCTTTAGTTATTCACTAGAAATAAAAGGTAAATATTCTGTCTGTCTGTCTTTGATGTCTCTCTTGACAGGCTTAGTTTGCCAGCTCTGTCTAAATTCGCACTGTGTTTATACAAGCAACACAGACATTTCAGTCCCATAATTGGCAAAGTAGCTCATATTGTGGACATGAAACTGGATTCTATACAGGATATAAGGTAAGTGTCGTAATGAAATTGAGTAGCAGGAGAAGCAACATGCCACACTTATGAGGCTGCCTTTGCTGAAAGCTTTCCCTTTTTCTCAACTGAAGGTTGCTTTTCTTCAGTTGGGGTTTGTGGGAAAGAAGTGATTTGTGTTAGTGCATTGATTTTCATGGACAGGTTTGCTTAGGTGAATGCGTTTTCCCAATGATGTTGCAAATAATTTCTTTATAACCAATTTAAACACTGAATTAAAATTAATGTTCTCCTTACAGTGGAAAACCAGCAGATATTGCTTTATCCTGAGTCCAAATATTACAGGGACACTTTTGAGAATTTAGAGGCTGTTGACTCGCCAGATGTTTTTCTTCCTTGAGATTGATAGTTTCTCTACTACGAAATGGATTTTGTTTACCATTGTGAATAGAAATAAGGAATCTTAAAGCAATGTTGTTTTTACTTATCTTCAGAGCTTTTTTTTTTTTTTTGGTCAAGTTGAGTTAGTCAATTCCCTTGGTAGCCTGTCTAGTGCATTACTCTAATATTAAAATGACTTAAAACCTGGCCCTAGTCAAAGAAGTCCAAGCTGCTTTTTCTTGCCTCTGTTCCCCCTGGGCCATTATAGCAAAGGCTGCTCTTCCCTTTTTCTGCTTTATAGAGCAGCAGCAGTCCCAACACTTTGCTTGTTTTTTCAGATGTGAGGAGCCTGCTTATGAAAGTCACTGAATGGGAGACTGCGTTTCTTTATAGAACGAACTTTCCCTGTGGTCATAAGTTTAGTTCCCTTAGGAAGGAATTCTTTCTTTAGGGAGTGACAATGACTCTTCTCCTCATTCTGTCACTTGACTATTGTTTTGGTTTCTTCAGTTTCCATTGAACATTAAAGATCTTTTTGCAAATTTGAATCAGGCAAGTCAGGGTCTTGCCTTTGGCAAATGCTTTCATCGCATACCACTTTGTAAGAGATGGTTGAAAAATCCCAATCATTTCAGAAATTCACTGAAAGTAGAATTTTGACTTTAATGGGAGAAATGGTTTTTGCTCATCTGTTTTTCCTGCATTAGATTTAAAATTCCTATTTATGCAGAAGTCAGCAACACCCTAATGTTCCTTTCTTTGCATACTGTATTTAAGAAGTCTAAAATTTATTACTTAGCATGTTCAATGTGTAAGTGTAAAATCTTTTGAATTTTTTAGGATCTTGTCAGTTTTGATGATCAGCATATCTGATGTTATCTCACAGAGTTTTCGAGATCGATTACTACACAAGGCTGAACAGCTTTTGGAAGAAAAGGATGAAGTCCGCTTGAACTGTGCCAAAAGAATACTACAGTTTCTTCAAAATGTTAAGCTGAAATATCATCCATTGGTAGAAAAATGCAACAAGATTTTCCTTAAAAGTGCCTCCCATCTTGATATACACAGCATCAATCTTATTTTTGGACTGTATGAGCAGCTGGGTTTTGACAGTGCTGAATTCCGCTTGGTTGCTAAACAGCTGCTGTCTGAAACTATAGATGATTATTGTGATCCCGAAACCTTTACAAAATTATTTTTTACTCTTGGGCCTATGGCAGGGTCCAAGGTAAGAGAAAGGTAAGTTTATTAACAGTTTTGTCTTATTTATGATATATGCATAGTCTTGCACAGAAATTAAAAACGTGCCAGTGTTTGGAGGAATTTCTGTGCCTATCCCTGAGCAGAGTATCGGGTTTCCTAGTTGTATCTTTGTAGCAAGGTGTCATTTCCTTATGGAAACACTGTCATAACAGTTTATCTTAAAAGAGTTGCATAGAAAGCAGGATCCAGTAATCAAGGGGTATGTGGATGCTGTTAATGCAAGGCCATCTTGTAGCTCTTGTCTCTGCGAGAGGACTACAGCCTTCCTTTCACAGTGGATGGTAGTAAAAACCTGTCTGTCTTTCTCATGAGAAATATATGCAGTGGTAGGTGTTGCTTTTTTTTTTTTTTTTTTAAATGACTGGCAGTAGCTGAAATAGCCTGAGTCTTGTCCTGTCCCTATCCTTGCACATCCTGTTCTGTATGAAACGTTTTCAGCATGGAACACTTCAGCATTTATTTAGCAACTGGAGCATAGTATTGAGTGGCAGATTTTTCTCTGCCTGTTTTTCTTGTGCTACAAAATCCTATTTGGGGGTGGCATTAGTCACGGGTTTCTCAAAGTCTGCAGTTTTAGGCAGAATTTGCTGTATTAATTACAATTAGTCATATTTTCAGACTTTTCTTCATGAACACTTGCCTCTCTTCCGAGACCTGGCTATACTGGAAACCTGTGTTGGTTTTGCCGTAGCTGAATTCCAAAAGCCTTTCCTAGATTCTTTTAAAATTTATTGTTGGTAAAAATCAGTGTGAGGCAGACAAGGTAATTAGCTCTATTTGCCTCAGAACTAGTTCAACTGATATTTGGATTCTCTTGTTAGCTTGCTGATTGGTGGTGAATTGTTTAGTGCCTTATAGTACCTTCCTTACTTCTTGCCTACATTCAGAATTGTTGGACTCACTGGTTTCTAGTGTCAGAGCAATATATACTGATCTAACACACTCACATCTCTCTGTCTGTGCCCTACAGATCAACTGCTTAGAAGAAAGGTCCACAGAACAAAGGTCTCTAGTTTGGGGGAATTTGTTTTCCTGTATTTCCTGAAGTAGTTTGTTGGTTCTTTGCTTCCTAGACAAAGAAAATGGCTGCAGTCCTTTGCTAGAGATTTTAAACTGTTTTTCTTCAGAAAATATATCTTTTCTTTTCCTCTTTAGGTTACTACTAACTGCAGTGCACATGGCTGAAGAATTTAGCAGTCATCAAGCATTGGTAATACTGAAGACAATGCAGAAAATGAAATGCAGAAATTCTCATCTACTCGAAAGGTAATTTTTTCGATACTACTAAGAAGTTGTGTTCTCTAGGTAAACTACTGCCATTTAGTATGGAAAACTATATAGTATCCAGTAAGTTGGGAGTGGAAAGTGTGTCACTTGCAGGTGAATGCATATACACTGTATCTAATTAGCTGTTGCAGATTTTAGAATGTCACAGCTTGACCCAGAAGTAGTTGAGGCAGTTTAGGAATTTCATAGAAGGGCATTTCAACCCTACCAAGTTAATGTAATACAAATTTTGTCTCATTTACAGACATGTGATGCTATTTGAGTAAACTTAGCCTCTAACAATTATTGTAAACAGGTAAGACAAATGAGAATGTACTAAGTTGCAGAGAATGTGTCCTATCTAGGAGATCCTGTTACTGATGTGAATTGTTTCTTCAAAAGTTATTGTGCCCTACTGTGAACTATTAAGTCTTGTCCTGGGCCAGATTTTCTGCAGTTGTAAACTGAATGTTGTTTATAGGGAGAGGTGATATCTTTCATACAATGAAGAGAAAAGCAGTTGAGGTTTTGCGCACGAATGATGTAGCATCAGGTATGTCACAGATGCAGCAGAGTTAAATGCAGGATGTGAGCAATAGCTGCAGATTGGGTGTAGTTGTATGAACCAAATAGATCCTTGAAAGAAAAAGGACAAGTAGTTCTTTGTAGCAGAGTGGTATTAAAGGGAAGACTAGGTGAATTCATGCTTTTCCTCCTTGAAT